TCTTAGGGGTGCCTGGGTGGCTCAGTCGGTTAAGTGTCTGCCTTCAACTCCGGTCATGATCCCGGGGTCCTGGAATCAAGGCCCACATCAGGCTCCTTGCTCAGCCAGGAGTCTGCTTCTCCTTCTCCCACCACCCCACTTGTGTTCACTCTCTTGCTGTCTTTCTCTGTCAAATAAAGAAATAAAATCTTTTTTAAAAAATAAAATCTTAAAAAAAAATGTGATAGGAGGGCGCTTGATATAATGAGCACTGGGTGTTACATGCAACTGATGAATCACTAAATTCTACTCCTGAAACTAATAATACACTATAGGTTAACTAATCTGAATTTCAATTAAACATTTTTTAAAGTATGATCATGACTGTAAGCACATACATGTTATCTGGCACGTAGTGAGTGCTTAGTCAGTGTTCCCCAGCTGTGGTAGTAGTTCGGAGGCTCCTGTCTTCTGGCTCACTGGCTCTGCAGGCCTCTCCCCCCTTACAAATATGCATACCCGCCTCCCCCCCCATGCACACAGCCACCACCACCACTACCACTATTGGGAAAGAGGAGGGGGGATGGGGGAGGGGGCTCCAGGAATGCTCCAGCGGGAGAGGTAGATGGTTTCCTTGAAGGGTTCAGATTTCCCTCATACTCCAGCTTCTCCATCAACTCACTAACGATTTTCAAGGAGTAGGCAAGGCTTGCAGATCCTGGGTGAGAGGAAGGTAGGAGCTCACTCTCTCTGCTCCCAAGGAATTTGAATCTGGGTGGGGGAGGGGAAATGTAGCCACAAAAAGTCCCCGCCCCAGAGGGTCATAATAAGGCTAAGGAGCCTTTTTCCTGCCTAGGCTATTGGACTTAATCCTCCTTCTCTTGGGCCTCAGTTTCCCTGCCTGTGGCCTAGGGAAAGGGAGTGCTTTCTGCCTCATGGTCACCATGGCAACCACAGATCAATGTTGATAGTGTCCTCCTGACTGGAGAGGTCACTGCTTTCTCCCCACTTATATTCTCATACAGCTCCACGCAGATGCAATTACACAATCACTGCAGACCCATACTCCTAATATAGGACACATCTCTACTATCAGTCCTCAGACCCATATCCCACAGCCCTGCTAAACACATATGCCTCATAACCCCTACACACTCAGAAACTCTCCAGTGCACTCACTGTCAGTGCAGACATATATACAATTCTGTGTAAACCACACACAGAGATACACATAGTCAGACACAGGAACCCACACAAGAAAACACCTAGCCGCTTACATTCTGCCACTTATTCTGTTACTTACACATGCATGGCTCACAGTTTCCCTCATACACACACATACACACACATACACTGCCCTTCCCTGCCCTCTCCCGGAGCATTGCTCCTCCCTCTGCCCCCCTCCCTCTGGCACAGAGTAGCCACAAGGTGTCTGGGGGAAGCTGTCCTCAGGGACAGAGGCAGGTCACCGCCTTCCTCCTCTGGCCTGGCCTGTTCTGGCCCATATCCTTCTTGCCAAAGGCTCCTGAGGAGATGCCAGTCTGTAGGCTGAAGTGGCCCTGGAAAGAGGAAGAGGCTGTGGCTGGGAGGTGTGTGGGGCAGAGGCGGGGTGAGGGGGCGGGAGAGGGAGGAGATCTTGGGAGGGAGAGGGGGAGGGAGGCTGCCAGCGGTCCTACTCCTGCTGGGGAGCCTGAGGGGGAGGTGGTGTGAGGAGGGCTGCCATTGTGCCCTGGCCCCAGCTGGAGGGGGGGTCGGCCATGCCTCAGGCCCACCATGAACCTGGAAGGGCTAGAGATGGTTGCTGTGCTTGTGGTCCTCGCTCTGTTTGTCAAGGTCCTGGAGCAGTTTGGCCTCTTTGAGCCTGTCTCCTTGGAAGGTAACCCAGGTGTCTGGCTGTGTCTGGGCTGCTGACTAGAGGAGCAGATACCCCGCAGCACTGGGGAGGGGGTCCTCTGCTTTTATGACTGGGGACAGGGGTAAGCATGTTAGTGATGGGATATGGCATCTGGGGGAGGTGAGGAGGGGTGCTTGGGGAACAGGACATCTGAGAGAGGTAAAGAGGGAAATTCAAGGAGTGGGTGTCGGGGAGGGGCTTCTGGGGGAGGTGAGGAGGGAATCTGGGGGCTGGGTGTCTAAGGGAGGTGAAGAGAGAGGGCCAGGGGCCAGGGTGTTTTGGGGGTGATGAGGGGCACAGCATGGGAGGACTGGGGTATGGAGATGAGGGGACTCTACTGGGGACATGAGGAGAGGTCTGGAAACAGGCAGAGCTATCAGGAGTAGAGAAAGGAAGTTCTAGGGATCCTGAGATAACACCAGACTGCTGGGGGAGTCCCTTTGGAGCCTGGGGCCCACAGTGGCTCTGAAGATGTGTGTGACTCTCCACACCTCCATCCTTGCTGGTGAAGTTACAGAGTGTGCATGGACTGTGTGTGAGACACAGGGGGTATGACCATGTGTTCGTCTGTGTGAAAAAGGACCAAGTGTGTGACTGTGTGAGCCTTTGTATGGGACAGAGATGTGATTTAACGTGTCAGAGGGACAGGGTTTGTGGCTTTGTGAGGTGGAGAATATGACTGTGCCTGAGGGGGCAGGTTGTGTGGCTGGGCCCCTTGGGGTACTGGATTGTGTGCGTGGCTGCTCTCAGAGTTCCCTGAGGAAATACCAGCTCCATACTCAAGGCTTGGGATGGGGGGTGGGCTCAGGAGGGACAGGAGTGTGAACACTGTGAATGAGACCTTTATAGATCAGCTCTGGCAAGAGAGTGAGGGGTAGAACATGTCAGGGACCTTGCTTCCCAGGGCCCCTTGCCTTCCCAGTTTGTCTCAGGATCTCCAGGGCCTGGACACTGGGAATGAGAAATCAATTCTCCACATCACCCCAAAGTCTAGTGAGGAGAGAGGAGAGTGATATTGGAAGTAGAGAAGGGAGTGTGCTCTGCCTCCCCTGAGAGATTCGGCCTCTCCCTCCTCTTCACACAGACTGTGCAGCTCCATATTCTCCATTTCCACCAGGGACAGGAAAATAGGCAAAAACCATGATAGGAGGGCTATAGGGCAGACACCAGGGAGAACTGGAAAGATGTGAAAGGGAAGTGGAGACAAGAGAAAGGGTCAATGAATTGCCTGCTCTAGGGTTCAGTAGGAGCAGGAAACTCCCAAATCACCTGCTATCCTCTGCTGCATTTATCAGAGTGGGGTTGGAAGCAAGGGTTGGTCCTAGATGAATTGAGGTTCATCCAATCCTGAAAGGATGAAGTCAGTTTGGCTCTGACGTGCCATGCCCTTTAGACTGTGGTGGGAAGAGGGGTCATTCAGGAAACCCAGGTGTTCAGTAGCCTGAAGGTAGCTCTTTCCCCTCCCACATTTCAGGGGAGCCTAGAGGAGATGGAGTCCTGGGAGCAGGGAGGGAACCAGGGAAAGGGCGGAAGTGTGAAGATGGGGAGGTTGGTTGGGGGGGGGGTGCCGTCCCCCTCCCCCATCCTTCCCAGTCCAGCTGCAACCACACCACCGGAGGCCCCATGCGCAATCCGGCTTTGGGAAACCAAAGCCGGGGCTAATGGAGCCTTGGGCTGGGGGCCAGGCCGCCATCGATCCCCCACTCAGCCCATGGTCTCCCTCCTACTTCTCCATAGCTCTGCAGGGGGAGGGGAAGAGAGGACGCATTGGAGGGTGAGGCATTTATTTTAAGCAGTTACCTCCTGGGAGCAGGGCCGGGTCCTGAAGGGTGAGGCCTGGTTTTGGGGGGGTGGAGCCTGCATGGGAGCTGGGATGCCCTAGTAACCTACAACCCAAGGAAGTTGGGCCCCTCCAGGAATGGACCGAGGCCAACTTCAGTTGGCCAGTCAGTGTGCTAGGACCCTGTGGACTCTGATCCCGGAGTCTGGAGGCGGGTGCTGTCGGGAGACAGGCACACCAACGCAGAGCCCTCCTTGGGATGCACTTAGAGCTGTAGGACACAGGTGTAAATAAGGGGAAGTGAGGGGAATTGTGGTCAGTGGCTCTGGATAGTCCCACGTTACAAAAAATACTCATCTCCAAGGTCTGTTATTGCTTCAAAGTTTGCTATCACATCACCTTCAAAGACATGGGAGGGGACACACTTTTAGGGTGGATGACTTAGCTGAAGAGGAACTTTGTTCCACTGGCAGGGAGATTCTAGGTGCCCTGGGATGAGGAGTTATATAAGGAAGGGTGGGCAGAACAATTATGGGTTCTGTTGGTGATGTGCAGTCTTGGGTATCTGGGTGCCATGGGCACCTAAGTCACAACATGATATGGCTATGTGTCGTGGTGACCTCGATATGTGTCATAATGTTACAGGGTCACAGTGTATTATACTGCCCTTAACACACCATGTCATGATGTCCCATGTGTTTTTGTATGGTTTGATCATGCAGCATGTAAGAAGGCCTGTGTGGGTCCTCATATATGTGTGTCATTTTTCCTAGGCCACATCTATACATGTTTATATTAAGGAATACTGTGTCAAAGTGTGTGTGTACCTGTGTATGTGTGCATGTGTTGGGGCCTCCTTAATTAGGCCATTGGGTTTGAGTGAGTTGCATGGTATCAAGCTGTCTCTGTATGGCATCCATCACCGTGATTTATCATTCTGTGTGTCACTATACATGCTTGTCACTGTGTGTGTGTGTGAGAGAGAGACAGAGACATGGAGGTGTTCCTACCCAGGCAGTACTTGGGTTGGACATCACACTTAAATGTCCAGCTATAGCACTGGAGCCAAGGGCCTTGGGTCAGCAGCCACGGAGGCCAATGCCACCTCCCCTTGGTGGCCTCACTGTCCCCAACTGCGCCCCATTATACAAGATGCCTGAGTGGACTTTCTATGCCTGTGAAACCCGCTGGGCTTCCCTAGCTACTAACTAACCCCAGCTACTCTCACCATTCTCCTCCAGTCCTCTCCCAATACCCCAGCCCTCAGGGTTGATTTGTGATGGTGGGGAGGGGGATGGAAGGATAGTGGAGGTTAATGTGCCTTCCTGGGGTCTTCTCTCTTCCTAGGCCACCCTCCGGGGCCCACTAAAAAAGCGCTGAAGCAGCGGTTCCTCAAGCTGCTGCCTTGCTGCGGGCCCCAGGCCCTGCCCTCAGTCAGTGAAAGCAAGTGCCTCTCCTGTGCTTCCGGGGGCGGGGCCCGTATGTGTCGGGGTGTGACCAGTGTGACAGAGGCGGGCCTGCGTGTATGTTTGTGTGTGTGTGTGTGTGTGTGTGTGCGCGCGCGAGCGCGCGTGACCGGTGGGGGTGGGCGCTAGTAGGTCCGAGTTGGGGAGGGCCCAGCTACCCGGCCAGGAGCCAGCTGAATGTGAGGGCGTGGCCAGTGGGGGGGCGGGGCCCGATTGTCTGGACGTCACCGATCAGCAAAATGAGTGAGCCCCGGGTGTCTGGGCGTGGCCAGAGTGGCAGGGCTGAGACCTGAGACTGTGTGGGTATGGCCAATGTGGCGGGGCAAGACCAGACAGCTGTGAGGTCTGTGCGTGTCATAGTGCCTGTGTCTGTGGCCCCCTGCCCGCCCCGGGCATGTTTTGGGCCTGGAGATGCATGTCTCCCCTGCCCTGACCTGGCTGGATGCAGGTGCCTAGGATGGAGCCCACCTTCCTCCAGATGCCAGGATACTTGGGTTTCCTAGTCCCAGCTGGTCCCGAACTGAGTGGCCTCACTTTGTCTCCCGGCCTGTTTCCTCAGTTTGGGCCTTGCCCACCCCATAAGGTCATACTGAATTTTGCAAGCCAGGGAGACCCATTTGTAGTTATTTGAGAATGTCATTGTGTTTCATTCCACTGGGTCCCACGTGGGGGTCGATTCGGGAAAATGACAGTCGTGAGTCCCACATGCATGTGTGCGTGGGGTCTGTTTCGTGTGTGTCTGTGCTCGTTCATTATGTGTGCCTCTGGGCGCGGGGGTGGGGTGTGTGCATTTGTTAACACGCAGGTCTGTGAGATTTGCTGTTGAGTGAGGGGTGAGGTGTGTGTCTGCCTTTGGCCGGGTCTTCCACTTTCTCGGTGACAGTTCGCTCCCTTCAGCATTAGCAGTCCCAGCTTCCCTCCGCCCCCACAGACCCCGCCCGCTGGACCCAGGTGACTTACTTTCCTGGTGGGGGCGGGGACGGGGGCCTTCGGGAAAGTGGGGTGGGGGCACTTGCCTGGGGACTGGATGTTGGGAGCTGGGCAGGACCGAAATAGGGCCACGGATGAAGCCTTAGCTAAGGTTTACCGGGAGCAGGGTAGGGGTGGGGTCTGGATGGACTTGGCTGGAGCTGGGCGGGGCATGGCTCGAGCATGGCTGGGGTAGGCGGGGATTGGCTGGAGGGAAGGATCTGGGCGGGGCAAGTATGGGGCTGAGCTGATGGGGTGTGGGGCTGCAGTGGGGAAAGGCCCGGAGCTTGGACCCTCAGACGCTTCCTCTTGAACCCGGTTCCTCTACCCCTCCCTTTCTGGGACGAAGATGGGGCTGGAGGCCTTCCCCTTCAACCAGGTCAAGGGCCCAGGGGCCAGCGATGACTCGGACCCCGGCTCTGGGGCCAGGCCTGCCGATGGGTCCAGCCAACTGATAGACCTGGAAGCTAACCAGCGTCTTCTTTTTGCCTTGATATCCGGGGTCCAGGGAATTGGCAGGCTGATCTCTGGTGTTAGAGTTGGGGAGGATGGGTGGGTCGGTGATTTTGAAGAGGGTTCATGGAGGCCGGGCCTGAGGCGCGGCTGTCCCCCTCTCCCCCCACACTGCCCCCCTGCAGACAGCGTGGAGGATGAGTTTGAACTGTCCACGGTGTGTCACCGGCCAGAGGGTCTGGAGCAGCTGCAGGAGCAAACCAAATTCACGCGCAAGGAATTGCAGGTCCTGTACCGGGGCTTCAAAAATGTGAGTGCAAAGCAGGGCCAAACTGGGTGAGGGGAGAGGCCTATCCAGGACTTTCAAGATTGGCCTGGATGCTTTAGGAATGTGAGAGGAAAGGGGAGGGGGAGGGACCCCTCTTCCCTAGACTTATAGCGGGAGGCTCTGGCCGATTTGAGGCAAGGTGGAGCCTGTAGACTGGCCTGCTGGTTAGTTCTGTGTTTTTCAAACTTGTGCACTGAGAAGTCTTGCCTTCCTAAAAAGAACTACTTGGTGAGCCCCCGGTGACAGGAATATTTTCCTTCTCTGGGAGCCTCTGGCATGGAGTAGGTGGTGGCGAGTGAAATGGGGTTTTATTCTGCCCTCAGTCTGGTTTCTGACTCTCCCCCCACCTCCCAGGAGTGTCCCAGCGGAATTGTCAATGAGGAGAACTTCAAGCAGATTTACTCTCAGTTCTTTCCTCAAGGAGGTGAGGGGGCAAGGCCTGAGATGAAGCAGCTATCCATCTCTAGGCTGAACTGGGGAGAGGGCTCTGGAGGGGCTGGGAATGCCAAGTGATAAGAGGGGTTTGGGGAACCCCACAGAAGGAGGAAGTCCTCTCCTGTCTGAAAGCCAAAGTTATCCACCCTTATCCTACAGACTCCAGCACATATGCCACTTTTCTCTTCAATGCCTTTGACACCAACCATGATGGCTCCGTCAGTTTTGAGGTGAGCTGGAGGAGGTGGGTCAGGGAGGCCTGTTTCTTGGGGCTTCAGGGCCAGGATCCACAGGCCAAACCCATATTGGGGATTGGGTAAAGGGCATCTGAATATCTCCTCTGTCTCCTTTCCAGGACTTTGTGGCTGGTTTGTCGGTGATTCTCCGGGGAACCATAGACGACAGACTAAACTGGGCCTTTAACTTGTATGACCTCAACAAGGATGGCTGCATCACCAAGGAGGTGTGGGGCAACTGAAGAGTTGGAGAGCTTTTATGTGTGGGGGGAGGTGCAAAGGGCCCTAAGGAGGAAAATGTGACCCACACATGCTTCATCAGCGAGGGGTGAGGGCTGCCCTAGGCTCTAGGCCTCCTGATTTAGAGCCTGGAGGTTCTGAGGAAGGATTCTTTTCTCTCTTGGCCTACCAGGAAATGCTTGATATCATGAAATCCATCTATGACATGATGGGCAAGTATACCTATCCTGCACTCCGAGAGGAGGCCCCAAGGGAGCATGTGGAGAGCTTCTTCCAGGTGCCTGGGACTGGGTAGGCTGGAGGGTCCTGGAGTGAAGGGAAGGAGGCAAGGTCCTGGCAGGGAACTTAACTGAATTCTGCCTTCCTCTCTCCTGTCATCCCTCCTGTTCTCTCTACCTGACTACTTTTTGGCAGAAGATGGACAGGAACAAGGATGGCGTGGTGACCATTGAGGAATTCATTGAGTCTTGCCAAAAGGTACGGACCCCTGCCAGCCACATTTCCATGATCTGGACTCAGGGTCCAATTCAGTGATGTAAGAGAAAAAGTTCCTTTGGGGAGAGTATCATCTCCCTAACTTGCCCACACTCCTGAGTCCAGTTCCTTCACAACTCGGGGAGGACTGTCCCTTCCCTACTTCAGATCTCTCGGGTGTCTCCTTCCTTGCTGCCTCTGTCTCTGAATGTCCCGATTTCAGGTGAATGTCACTCTCTGTGTCGCTGATAAGCTCTTTTTTATTTCTCTCTCTCTCTCTCTCTCTCCAATCTGCCCCTCCCCCACCATGGCTACAGGACGAGAACATCATGAGGTCCATGCAGCTCTTTGACAATGTCATCTAGCTCCCTAGGAAAGGGGGTCAGTTGTCCTGGAGGGACCATACTCTAGCCCTAGTGCAGGTGGAACTAGCCCTTCTCTTCCCAGGTCTGTCCTCATCCTAGCCCAGCCCTGGGGGCTGTAGGAATCTAAGAGCCTGGGGATTCAGTGGTCCAGATTGCTGGAGCTAAAGGGGCCAGGGCATGGGTAGAATGTATCTGTGGGGTGTTCCTAACTCCCAACAGCTCCCACCCTCTTCCTGCCTGACACTCAGTGCTGAGGGTACCCCTGCTATAGGAAATAAATGGTTCTTCACCTTCCATCGCCACTTTAGAAACTACAACACTAGACAGAATGTCTCCTGCTATGGTGCTTTCCCTATCCCTGACCTCATATGCATTTCCTCTAAGATTTCCTTCTCAGAGAGTCTGCTCTGTCCATGCACTGACTGGCCTTTCAGACCAGGGCCTTTGAGAGCCTTGTAGGAGGGGGACAAGAAGGCCTGAGCCAGGTGGTTAGATCATAGATGGCTGGGGTAGAGTTCAGAAAGGCCTGGAGATTGTCAGTGACACCTCAAGGCATGCCAGGCTATAGCTCTGAGCTCCACAGGTTTGCTACCCCAGGCTATCAGAATATGAGTTCCAGGCCCTTCAGAAGACTCTGTCTCCTTGGAAATGCCCCAGAAATTTCCATACTCTCCTCAGTATTCCAGGAGAGCCTGGGATCCTGATGTCTGGCTCATGCCTGGAATTCCTTCCTCTCCTTCCTTCCTGTTTGTTGGGGTGGAGGTAGCAGCAGGGGAATATGGATGGGAGATGTCCCAGCTGATATCTGCCAAAGTTTTAGCCTATCCTCCCTGATGGATACAACTTAAGTTTTCATTTGCCATTTCTTCTAGACTTGGAGGCATGGAGTGAGTCAGGGACCATCCAGTGGATGCCTTAGAAGAAAGGGGAAGGAGGGAGGCAGGCATAGCATGCCTGTGAGGGGGCATTCACTAGAATCTTTGATCTACCCAGGCTCTGTTCCAACACCCACATAACCTCCTCAATTCCTACTTAGGGTCTCCTCTTGCTTTATTCAATCTACCCAGAGATGCCCCTGTACACACCTAGAAGGCAGGGACCACCCTTGCCATGTTGCCACCCTTTAATAAACCTGCTCGTTCCATTTAGCTCACCCTCCCAGTCAGTCAGGATCTGAGGGGAAGGGCCCTGAGGGAGCTCCCTTTCCCATCAGAACACTGTTGACTGCTCTGCATTTTTGGCTTCTCTGTATATTTTGTAAAATAAAAAAATACACCAATCCAATAAAACACAATGGCTATGCACAGGCTGCTGTCTCTGCCTTTTTGTCCCTCCTACTCCACACATACCTCACAACACTAATTCCTGCACCTGTAGCCTTTTAGAGTCCACAGAAAGTACCTCTCTTTCCCATAGCATAACCTACCCCTGGCAGGAGATCGAGACACTGGTTCCGGAAGGATTGGAAACCTACCTGACCTCAGAGAGGTCCCCATGTGAATCTCTATTCCACATCCTTAGAGGAGATGAGAGACAGGGTATTAATATCCCAAAGATTATACCAAATCAGCTGTCTTTTTGCTAGATATTCTTACAAGTTGAATTAAGAATTTTTTTTTTTTGAATCAAGAATTTCTAATTTATAGACATCTTAGTTAACCTCAAAGTGCTTTCCTTGCAGGGGATTCCCTTTAGTTTCTAAAGAAAGTTTCTTTGAGAAATTATGTTCAGTATGGATATGGTTTGTGTGTCTACTCCAGCCACATTCCTAAAGCATCCAGGCCAAAGGATCAGATGGGGTGGACCCAGGCACCACGGAGCAAGTGACACAAAGGGTAATAGAGACTTCGTATGTGGAATGGCTACCTTTCTTTGTTCTGTTTCTGGAGAGGGGCCACCAAGTGGTAGGTTCTTCTCTAGGGTACCATTATGTGGTGGCTAAGCTTCACTATCCATAGTGGGGGCATCAGGCTCTCTCTTCCATCACTGTAAACATTGACAAGATCAACGCAAGAGTATGGTGTCCAAGAAAGAAAAACTTACTTCCAGAATCCATCATTTTGTCATCTGTGTTTCCTGTTCACATTATCACACAACTATCTGCTCCATAAGTCCTTGGATTTCTTTGGGTCACAGCCCCTCTGAAGGATCTGATGGAAGTTAGGGACCCAATGTCCAGAAGAAAAAAAATGCACACTTTTTCATATGTTTTTGTATCCCTGAAGCCCGGTCACAGACCTTAAGTTAAGAACATGTGGTCTAGTCTTTCTCTCAGCCTTCCATTGTACAGAAAAGGAAACAGGCCCAAAGAGGGGAGAGGACATGCTCAAGGTCACCTAGTGAGTTTATAGGAGGATAGAGACTAGACCCAGTCTCCCAAGTCTCTGCCCAGGGTTGCCTTGGGACATAGTAAAGATTTGTGAGTGAAAGTTGGATGCCATGCATAACATGCGTAGTCTAAACAAGTTGACACTGTGACAGGTTCTCATGGTACCCTATACTTTTCCTTTGTGGCACTTCTCTGTTTGTTACTGTATATTTTTTTGAGTGATTGTCTTCTTTGATACCATAAGCTCCTGAGGGCTGCTTGAGTGCCTAGACTAGGTTTCCTGCTCCCCCCCCCGCCGATCCTATTCTTGAGGCCTATCATATAATGGGTATTCAATAATTGTATGAATAATTGTATGATTGGATGAATGAGCATGGTGAGTGTATGTATGTATCTTAGGTATGGAGACAGTCTCTATGTTTTAGGGTACACTCAAGTTTAAGGGAAGTTGAAGTCTAAGGCTGGGTGAGGTGAGAACCCAGAGCCAAGGCACACAAATGGGATCCAGAAATAAACAGGAGGCGGGCATTCTGATAATTTTTTTCTGGCCACTGGTTGGGTTCTGAATGTTGTCAGCTGTTCCATCTCAAAACACTCCTTTCATGCCTTCTGGTATTTCATCCTCTCCTGGTTTCCTCTTACCTTTCTGGCCACTGCTTCTCAGCACTTGCTTGAATACTCATCCTTTTCAAGTGGAATTCTTATGTTGAGCCCCATAGCTCAGACCTGAGTCTCTTCTCCAAATCACATCCAGTCCCATGGCTTTAAACACCATCTATATGCAGAGGATTTCTAAATTTATATCCCCAGAATTCTCCTCTGAGCTTCAAAACCCACATATCCAATTGGCTATTTGACATATTCATGTGGACCTGTAATGGTCAAACTTAACATGTTTATTTTTTGAAAGATTTTATTTATTTGACAGACAGCGAGTCCAAGCAGGAGGAACAGCAGGTGGAGGAAGAGGGAGAAGCAGGCTTCCCACTGAGCAAGGAGCTGGACTCAGGGCTTGATCCCAGAGCCCTGGGATCAGACCTGAGCTGAAGGCAGACGCTTAACTGAGCCACCCAGGAGCCCCACTCTTTTTAATTTTTTTAAGATTTGTATTTATTTATTTGACAGAGAGAGAGAGAGAGAAACTTAACATGTTCAAATGTTCAAAATGGAGCTTTGTGGGGTGCCTGGGTGGCTTGGTCGTTAAGTGTCTGCCTTTGGCTGAGGTCATGATTCCAGGGTCCTGGGATCCAGCCCCGCATCGGGCTTCCTGCTCTGTGGGAAGCCTGCTTCTCTCTCTCACTCCCCCTGCTTGTGTTCCGTTCCCTCTCTGTCAAATAAATAAAATCTTAAAAAAAAAGAAAAAAATGGACCTTTGATTCATGCTTTTTCAGTCTTCCCTACTTAATAAATGATACCATCTACCTGGTTGTTCAGGTCAAAATTTAGTAGTCTTCATTTCTTCCTTTCCCTCTACTCCTTTATTTTATTATTATTTTTAAAGTAATCTCTGTGCTTAACGTGGGGCTTGAACTCACAATTCCCAGACTCTACCAATTGTGCCAGGTAGGCACCCCCTCCCTCTACTCATTTAATCAATGATGATTCCACACCACCAAAGGTGCAGTGCCTCTCTCTGTCTCCACTCCTAGGCCATACCATTATCATGGCTCACTCGCAGATTGCTGCTTATTTTTCCATCTGAGGTGGCCCTTCCTTGCTGTGGTTACTCTTTATCACATCACTTGATTTCCTCCTTTCATGGCACTTATTACAAACTGAGACCCTGTGTATGTACTGAATTTATTATTGTATGTTTCCCTAACCAGAATTTAAACTCTGTGAATGTAGGGCCCTATCTCATTCATTCCACAAATATTTATCATAGGCCTACTAACCTCTGGTTTCTTTTGGAGGTACTAGGGGGTAGAAGTATGGTTTGGAGAGAGAGTGTGTGGCAGAAATTTAAGTTTGAGAGGTGTAGATATGGAAAGTGGATCTTGCCTGGGCCATGGATTCCAGAGTGTGGACAGCAGATGAAATAGTGGCTGCTGATTTGCTAGCAGTTGACAAGTGTGACGCAAAGATGAAAGCGTCATGAGACTAAGGGCTGAGGTTAGCCGGAATGATAACCCCAAATACTCCAAGGGACCACAATATCCACTGAAGCTTCTTATGGCTTCAGCTGGCATCACAAGAGGTCCCCTAAGAAAACACTTGCCTCTAACCCCCATCTCAACACTTCATGACTAAAAAGAAAGAGGGATTATAAGAGCCCCTGGAGCTACAAGTTGGGCTGCCGCTGGAGGAGCTGAAGATGATACCGACATTACTAAATCTTAATGATCCGAAAGAGACCAATGCTCCTTTCACATGTACACCTCGCAAGCTGAAACAGATCTCTTAACCGACATAAATGTAAATAAAGTGTCTATGACAGGGCTACACCGAGCTCTGAGCACAAACGGCCGGCCAAAAGAGGACCCAAGCCCATCTAGGGCCCAGGAAATGATTCCTTAAGGAAATGATGTTTATGCTAAGGCCCAAGAATCTCACTTCTTCCTTAAACACAGTTCACGCTCCCCAATCCCAAAGATGCCAGGCCTTTTCACCCCTCGCCACAATTGTACCATCTGTCCCACCAACCTGGAGTGCTCTCTTCGCTTCCTCTCTACTCGGTCTAACTCCTACTCATCCTTTACGTTCCAGCTCAAAAGGAAAGCCATGGCTGCCACCTCTCTCCAAAGGAGGATTAAGTTAGTTCCTCCTCTGAGCTCCAGCAACACCTGGGTACACCGTGTGGGGGCTGTGCATGTACTTGCTTGTCCCCACCACCATATTGTGAGCTCACAGTGGCCCAAGGGCCCAGGAAGAGGGAAGCTCAACTGGTCTCCGCCGAGCGAAGCAATGAACTAATGACTTAATTTTTAAAAGGGGTTAGCGCCCAGCTGTGGGTAGGGGGAAATGATTCAAGGCAGAGGGGTGAGCTGAGCTCCTCCGAATGTTGTCTTCAGAGAACCGATCCTGGGTCAGGCTGATGTAATGAGACAACCTATTAGAAGAATCTCAATAGAAAATAGGTCAGTTTCTTCCTATCTCTTTAAGAACTAGAGGCTTCGTTTCCGCGCCTGCGCATTGAGAGAGTAAACACCTCTTTTTCACCCTCCTATCCCATCCCTATTGCCCCAACTGGCTGCAGCCTCCTCCCATACTCCCCTTCTTTAGAAGAGGTAATGGTCTGTTCCAGAGCGCCGGGCTTGTTCTAGAGGGAGGCGAACATAAATGGTACGCTCCATTACCTTCAATACCTTCCGCTTTTCTCGTCTCCTCTGTTCTATTTCCCCCTACCAAGTGAAGCTCAATAGGCTGGCCCAAAAGGAGGAGGGGGAGTCGGGCTGAGAGGACCGGTCTGAGCCGGTCTCCGGCGCAGGCGCAGTGCGGATAAACAGGAAGCGGGTGGTGGAGGCAGTGTTGGAAGAGACCTAAGGGCTTAAGGGGGCAAACGGCGGAAGAACTAAAATTTTCCGGAGGCACTAGAGGCTAACTGCGAGCAAGAGACGGAGGTCTGGCTATCTGCCTCCAGGGGACGAGAGGTCGCGGCCTCGCTCTCCGCTTAGGCTTCCGGCTCCCCAGCTTAGGCTGAGGCAGCGGCTGACAAAGGGCTCGCGCCGGTGCCGCCGCCCTTCTCATCCGGGCATTCGGGTCCCTGCGGAGAGGGAGGGGGAAGGGTAGAGGGGGAGGGGAAGGAGCAGGAAGGGCGCGCGCTTGGAGCCGAGGCCCTTTCCAGGGCTCCGGGCCGGCGGCCCAACGGACGGAGGCCGAGGAGGACCCGCAGAGGTGGCGGCGGCCGCGGGCAGGAGGATGGTGCAGAAGGAGAGCCAGGCGGCGCTGGAGGAGCGGGAGAGCGAGCTCAACTCCAACCCTGCCGCCTCCGCGGGGGCATCGTTGGAGCCACCAGCAGCTGCGGCCCCTGGAGAA